AAAGTGTATAGCCTTAAATATATAAATTAACATCTGGACTCTGCAGCTTTGTTTCACTTAACTTTATACATGAGTTCACACACGAACATAACTGTTTTTGACATTTAAGCCATTTACCTTTCTGGTTAAATTTCCAGGTTCTATTGGAATTATACACTTGAATTTAACTAAATTAAATCAAATTTAACCATGGAAAAGAAAGACGAAAGGTTAGAAAATATGTTTTCTTGTGCTGTTGTTTAGGGTCATTAGACTTGTATGTTTCATTTGAGAAGTGTAACCACCCATTCCTTTCCTTTATGAGATGATTGCATATTTTTTATAAACCAACTGGATCCATCAGTGTAAAGGAATTCTGACTAAAGTTCTCTTAGCCTCGGTTAAAAATCGAATAGGCCTATGAAATGAATATTTTACTCTGTCTTGTTTTCATGTGGAAAAAAACTACAAATCCCACTGTTGCTTCCACTTAATGTTTTGTATTTACTCACACAAATATAACAACAATGATTGGTATCAGTTTTTGAAGTATTTAAGGTCAAATTTGGTATGTGTGTTCTGATACTGGGGTAACTATTTTACAGATAATGAAGCCTAAAAAAGAGAAATATTTTCAGAAGGCACAGTTTGTGAAGCACTGCTTTTGTTGCCTTGTGACGGCACAGCCTGTAAACCATTGCTTCCTTTTCCAAGAGATTACCCTCTTACATTAAGTTGTCATTGCTGGTGCACAGAAGAAGAACCATAGTGTTGACATGACACTTCAGTTCTGCAGTACTGAGACTCTAAAGGAACTCTTGAAAACTGCATTTTGAAAAGTTGCTGTTCATTGTTGTATCGTAGCATTTAAGATATGTACTGTAAGTGTGCCGATTGTGTCAAGATGGTGGTGTAGAGTAATGTGTCCTTTGTTGTTGGGTAGATGAAGCCTAGTGCCAAATGCATACCATTGCCTGTCTCACAGCCCCATTTGCAACACCAGGACTCTGTGCCCACTGAGTTGGAAACAGCATTTCTCAAGTATAAATGAAGACTTGTTACTGTATTGATTGATGGTGCACTTCAACAGCGAGGGGCTAAAATCAATGAGCGCCTCATGGAGTCTGAAGTCTGAGGGCGGAAGACTGATGCCTGTGAGGCTTACCCACCAGAACAACCCAAAGCTTACTCATAAATAAATAAAAGAGAGCATTTCCTGAATAATTTCCTGCTTGCTTTTTAAGAATATACAGAACATGAAAAATTATTTACTACTATTATTACTACTTATTTTAAAACTCTTTTTTTTATTATTTAATGGTCTTCCTTACTGTCATGATTTGGTCTTATTTAGTTTTGTATTTCAGTATTTAGGTTTCCATGTTTTAATTTCTCCTGTTTATCCTAGTGTTGCTTGTTTCTCTTGTGTGTTTTTGTCCTAATGTTTCATAGTTTAGTCTTTAGTGATTCATGTGTTATTTTGTAACTTCGTACCCTAGTGTTTCTTTTTGTTCTAGTGTGTTTTTGTTACTTTCTCGTCAGTAGGTCAGAAGGTAGAACATGTGAACTATATTGGTGTGTGGGTCTGCTTTTACCTTTAAAACACACATTGACCATATCATTAAAAAAGTACATTTTAGTGCTGGTGTTTAATACCGATCCAGACATTGCTTCACATTAAATGTTAAAAAGAAACTTGTCTCACAACTCATACTACAAATAACAGACTATGCTTACATTGTTTACCAAAGTGAATCTAAAACTGATCTTCATCCCCTTAATGTTTCTTATAATAGACTCTGCAGATTCATACTAGGTTGTTCTTTTTTTTACACATCACTGTAAAATGATAGCTACACTCATACACTAAGTCATGTTTGTGGAACAAGTTGACGCTTAAGTGAAAGTTAAAGCCAGCAGGCTAAAAGAGCGAGGTCACACTGGCCTTGTTGTCGTACCGTGCCTTTCGCCCCCCCCACCCCCCCACAGTCCGGTTACCTCTTGTACATAACGTCATAATACAGCACATGCATGGCTTTATGTTATTATGAAGCGTGCTCAGTTTTCAAACAGACGAGAAAAAATTCAAAAAGGGACACGCGGTTGTGTCCGCGTCTGCACCTAGAAGAACAACACAGAGAACATGACAGCTACTTTACTGATTTCGTGTCTTATTTGAATATTTAATTCAGATACATCCATGAAAACATATAAAAAATAAAAGAGATGTCCACACATGGGAGAACATGACAGCTACTTGTGTCTTTACTTTGAGTCATTTCAGTCAGATACAGCCAGAACACTCCAGATTTCTCAGTAATAATAAAGACTGTCAGCGTTGTTTACCCACATGTTTGTGCTCGTGCATGAACCGTGCCTTCTCCGAAGCATGCCATGGCCAAGGAAGTGTACCATAGAACACAACGGTCACACTGGTCAAATGAACTGGATTTAAGGGGTAAAGCGTGCTTAGGCACGGTACGGATTGCCAGTGTGAGCGCACCCTTAGGGCTCAAATAAACTCAGCCTTTGTTAGCTGCTTTGATGGAATACCCCCCAGGAATATGTGCAAAAAACCCCACAGGAAACAGAGAACCACAAGGATTCGAATGACAAAATAACAAAGGGAATCCAATTTAATCAACAAAATCAAGGAATAAACAAACTAAACAAAGGTAAATCATGACCCTGGCTCATAAGGTTTAATCAACCCTTGATACCCTGCATCAAAAACAACACTCAGTCTGCCTGAAATTGAGTCAATACCTGACATTCATCATTTGCGTCCAGCCAGCCTTTTTAATTACTGCAATGAATTCCCCACATGGCTTCAGCCACCACTGACCTGCTATCTAAATAGGGTTTATTGTTGAGGCTTTGCTTTGTCTAGACACTATTTGATGGATAAATAGTAAGGGCAGATGCTCTGTTTACTGCCTTAAGTTATTTGTGGAAATTCAGCTTTGCAGCAGTTGGATTCTGGATGAGAAAGAAAAATTAAGTGTCCTTATCCCTTAGACATAAAGGTGTATCTGTTGTCATGGAAGAGCTTAAACTGAAATATTTGGTCTCCCTGATGTGAGAAATGTGCAAGGGGATTACAGACATGGAGCACAACCAAACTATAGGCCATATCCTTAAAACGTTGAGTGTAAATGATGCACAATTCATCAGTAACCAATAGATATAAGAGTCTTTTGCATTCCACTCATGCATAATTGCGTTCAAACAGCATTCAAAAATTCTAACTTGTTTTAGAAGCAGTAACCATCATGAATGTGTTATTTGAATAGTAATTGATTGGTTGTTCCAAGAATAGTAGAACATTGAGTGTGTGCCCACATTGTTTATAATGTTGATCTATTTTCTAAACATTTCCATATCAATGCCCCCTAGTTTGTATAAGCTCATATTTCATTTTGATGTAAATGTTAAAAACGTATGCTGATTAAATGGTGATTATGAGACGTTGTAATTTGAATACAATTGATTTTGCTGATGACTGCAATACATATTGATGATAAATACAGGATGTGAAATACAGTGTCCATCAACATAGCTAAAGAAATCCAGGCTTACCTAGCGCCATCTCCCAATTAAGCTTCAAGCTGTTCATTTAATCAAGGCTGACTCAAGGCAGGCTTGCATAGCCTCGCTTTGTGCACGCACCCGAGGTTTATAAGAAGCCCAAATGAATGGATGAAGGAAAGATGATCAAAGGAGTCGTATAGAGGGAAAAGTTCGAGCTCCGTTTTTTTTACAACAGCTGAACAAACACTGCTGATTGAGCTGTGCGAATAATTTAAAGATTTTATTGCAAGAAAAGGCAAAACTGCAGACAATAATAAGCCAGGGAGATGGCGTGGCAGAAGATACTGAGAAACTAAATGTGCAAGTTATTGAAGTGTTACAATTGTTTCATGTTACATGTGCATTTCACTTTATATTATTCTGAGCTCTTTTCTCTTTAGTAAAGCACTTTAAATTACCTCTGTGTGAAGTGTGCTGCACAAAAAACCTTACCTTCCATTGTTAATTCATTACTAAATGAATGTCCAGGATAGATTCATAGATAGATAGACAGATAGATACTTTATTCAATTCATTAAATACTTAGAGGATATAGCCTGTTTACCTGCACACAATTTCAAAAGAAACCCCTACAGAGAAAAAAAGGAAAGCTGTAGGCCTACAATAAAAAAGTATGTATACACCAATAAAATGCCAATCAACCCGTACAAGAATAAAACTCTTTATACAATTCAAGTCACAGATTAAAATTAGATCATCCAATATAGAGCAGATATCTGTTACAGCTGCACAGTAGCATTTATATGGCAAGGGACAGCACTGTCTGAATGGAGGTGGTGCAAATTTATAATGAGTCTGTGCATACTTTAAGGTGTAATTGTTCTAATATATCATTTTTAAAGTGTCCAACAAAAGGCTGTCTCTTTAAAACAGTTGTGCAGCTGAAAAAGTCCACGAGTAGTAGATCACTATGTGCTTTTCCCGCTGCAGAGTGTGACAGATATTCTATATATTAGAACCAGGATATGTTTAAAATAGTGTTGTAAGCCAACTTCAAAACGACATCACTACAATGCATTTAGGTTGGTAGGCTAATTAGTCCTACTGGGTTAGTGTTTAGTGTTGTGTGTTTGTTTAAAATAAAATGTAAAATTATCTACCACAGTGGTAAGTAACTACAATGAACATTTTCCACAGTATTTCTCAAAATTATAAATAAAAGTTTTAAGTCAGCCTTCAGAATTCGGGAACTGAAAGAACTAGTCATGTTTAAGGGATACTGTGAAATAGGCTATTTGACAGAATATGTATTAAAATAGCATCAATGGTAGACACAATTAAAACGCTGAGCGCTAATATTAAATTATAGCCTTGAAATAATATCAAAAGAATATGATTTTCATCTCGATCATTAGTGGTTGGCAATTTCAACATAAACGACGAATAGGGAAGACAACAGACCATGCTTTAAAAAGCGAATGGAAACCTTTTTGACTTTGCTCGGCTTCTGTACCTTTACCAGGAAGTAATGATTTCATTGAATGGTCAATGTTGACGTTAGAGTGTGTGTAGTTTTACATCTATTTATTTCAATATGCGTACCAGAACCGGAGCTCAAGCACCGATCAATGATGGGCCAGAGAGAAAGGTAATTCGCCGGGTGTGATAGAATGATATCGCGTACGTTAACGATTGCTAGCTTTTAGCTAGTGTAGGCTACTGTACACGTGACAGCCCTCTCCGCACAGTTAATTCTGATAGCAGCAATATGTCAGCAAACATTCTCACATTGTTTTAAAGAAGGAGACAAAAAGGACACTATTTAGTTTTTGCCAATCAAATGCTGTCTCCCTCTTCGTTTCTTCCTCTCTAGTCTAATGCTTATGTTATAAAATCCACTATTTCCACAATTTCCCAGTTTGGGATCAATTAAGTAATTCTATTCTATTTTATTCTATTCTATAAACGAACGACACAGTGTCCCCTCATTTTGCGAAGAGATGAGCCAAATCTCCTTTTAAAAACATAGTTTAACCACACTTAACTCAGATACGGTTATTCAATTCGACAAGCACTCAGAACCGTCAAGTAAACAGTTGGAATCGCTTTGCTAAAAAACACTTGTAAACACGAATCCAGTTAGTTATTCTTTTAGGAATTAACAACTATTAACACTCATGGAACTAACTCTGAAATAGTTGTAGTATCAGAGATACATAGTGGATATAAATATTGTGGATACAATTACAATATGAATATTAATGGTTTTAAAAAAAGTACTTTTCCAGATGAATGTGAGAGTTACTGGCATTTTCTTCTCTACGTTAACTAGGATCTAGATCACAACCAAGCTACGGCTGAAGGCAGATTGTTGAACAGTTCTACACTCCTGAATATAGCTAAGTGTTTAATTTTAATCATCATCATCCCTCCATTCCTCAACTATGCATCGCTGCAGAGAGAGGGACAGATGCTCTTGCCAAAAGGTTCTCTTTACTTACACTAACACTGTTGTTGTTGCTTTAGTACTTTCTTAAATTAACCTGCTAAACACATGTTTGTAATATCCATTAAGTTGGTTGATAAGTCATTCTAAAGACTTACTAATGAGAAGTTTTCTGTGAAGCTCAATCTCCCTTTCTACATTTTCTCACTTATTTCCAGATGGCCAGATTGTTGATATTGGTTTGGGTCAAAAGATGCATCTTTTGTGTAAAGGAAAAGGAAAACCAGTTGGTAATAAATCCTCCAAATATATACACTTGATCTGCTATGAATATTTTACTAAACTCAGCTCTATGTCTGTGTTTGTTAATTGAGTCCACCACTTTGTTTTACTTTAGTCATACTGGATGCACCAACGGGAATGTCCTCAGATGTTTGGTTGCATGTCCAAGAAAGTGTTGCAGCAATAACAAAGGTAAGGAAACAACATGAATACCTTGAATTGTATAGAATTTATTTATGATAGAAATGTTATTACTTTTGTATCAATATATATTAAAACAGTTCAGCACATCATAACTGAAACACAGCATTTATTGCTGATGAATGACACTTAACACAAACATATATTGTGCGTGAGTTTAATTAAAAAACAGAGTTGGGGCAGAGTTAAAAAATGCTCGGGGCATTTAGGAACAATCTTTGCAGTGGCCCTGCCACATCGTCTTTGTTTAACGAGGACTCAGTACAGCAGAAAGTCAGGGCTGACAGCCTGCCTCGTGTTGTTTGTCTGAAATGTGACCCAATTGAGGTCACTAGCTTGTCTGGAAAGGGACAAGATACATCCAACCAACTACATTTCATAAGCTATAACATAAAACAAACCCTATGTATACTGCACTGTAACTGTATCTTTTCCCCCCCAGTGTTACTCATATCATGCAGTAGAGCTGAGTCCTGATTGTGAGCGCCTAGTAAATAACACAGAGGATGGTGTTATTTAATATAACAACTCTGTGCTGTTTTGTTTGTCACTTGGCTCAGGTCTGTACCTATGACAGAACAGGACTGGGCTTTAGCAAGCGGCTGATGCAGAACGAAACTTCAGGAACAGAGAAATTTTGGGGGATGTCAACAACTGGACGGTTTGTAATGCAGTTACAGTAGCAATCACCTTGAGTGTAATTTAAAAAAATTGTCAAAAAATATGGACTGATACTTTTTTAAGATAGACTAAGACTTAAAAGTATCAGAACCAGGAAATGTGGGATCTGCAACAGTACCTAAATGAAGCTGTTGAGGCCCTTAGCTATTCAATAATTTACGTACTGCTATTATTCCTGTCTCTGACACACTGTAAGGTTATATGTACAATGGTATTCACCTTTGCTGGTTGTAGTAGCATTCCTGTGGGACAAAATGTTTTAATTTATTTGTATTACTTTTAATACTTTTCAATCAATTAATGCATTTTTATAGAGCCTATTCATAACAAATGTTATCTCAAGACACTTTACAAAAAGAGCAGGGATAGACCTTACTCTTGGTTCCATTATTTATGTAGACCCAACCCACCATGAGCACAGACCTAAGTAAAGTTACAGTGGCAAGGAAAAACATTCTTTTAAGAGGCAAAAAGCTGGAGTAGAACCGGACTCATGTTGAATGAAAGTGTGTTGGGGTTGTGAGGGGATAGAGGGAGATGCATTAATAAATAAATAATATTTATAGCTACACTGCCAGTTCTAATGGTAAAAGTATGGGTAGTATTCGCAGTGTTTATTGTATGATGGGGCAGGGGTTTATTGGGCAAGTAGTGTTGATGTTTTTCTGTTTGTTTGTAGGCTCACCGAATCAGATTACTATCAATTTAAAGATAATTTAATGTAATTTTCTCAGATGATCTAAAATAAGATTATTTAAAATAATATTTTAGATAATCTTTAAATGTATTGCAAAAGATGTTGTATATGAAGTGTAAGTGATTTCAATCTCAGTGTAATGAGTATATACAGACAGTGTTTCCCACAAAATGAGGTCCACATCTTTTTATTTTTTACTTTTATCTTAGGGTATATTTTAATATATATTTTTTTTATATATATATATATATATATATATATAGTGTATATTAGGTTTGTATCTATATCAAATGGGGTTTTCTCTCTCTAAAACAACTACGTTTTTGCAACAAACAACTTTAATCTGCTCATCTTATCCACGCAAAGACACAAACACCAGGGGCCTCGTTTAACAACAGTGCGTAGAAAGTGTTCTAAATTCTGTTTTACGAATGAAATTTACAATGTTCATAAGTACAAAAAAAATCTGTATTTGTCAAACATGATGGTACGCAGAGATGAGGTGAGGTTTGATAATAAGATCAGTGCAAAACAAATAAAAAAGCAATTAAAGCTACATGTCTGTTTCAAACTAGACAAAATCGTTACGCACTGTTAATAAATGAGGCCCCAGGAATACGCCTCGCGTTTTGAAAAGTTACACTCCATATTCTGTTATTTGTAGGAGTTCAGCATCAGCAGCAAGTAGCTTTACATTAACATTATTCAAATTAATTAGAGAAGCTTCAGTTTTGTTACACTTTTCTGCACTTTCTCCTGAGCTCTCTCTCTCTTGTGTGTGCGGCAATTTTATGAGTAAATCAAAAACAAGTAAAATCATAGTGTCTATAAATGCCAAGGTATCGTCTATATTTGGGAATCACAATTCATATAAGAGCTAATAAAGTAACCAAAACCCAAAGATTTACAATTCATGATTAGAAAACGAGTCCATTTTTGTATTTAAAAGTGGAGGAGAACGTTTGGATCCTCTGTTTAATGTGTATACTGTTAGTTTAGTTTACTGGTTTATTTGACAGGGACCATGCACAACACAACTGTTGGGCCAGAGTTAGCTTGGGCTAATTTACATCTGCTGTCCCTGGTAAATGTAACCACACAAGCTAAAGTGGCTGTTCTTAAGTTCTTTGCATTGTTTCTGAAAATGTGGACTCATGCCTGCATTGCAAACATATGCTTTCCTGTGCTTAACACACCAGTCTTTTGCTTTTTCTTTTTCTTTGTCTAGCAATACATCTAAGAACAGTGTTGTCTCGCTGATGGTCAGCAATCTAGTTTACCTTGGCATCTTGCCCAGAAAGCAGGTGGCAGCTCATTTGTGATACAAGCAATTTATTTTCCAGAATTCAGTATTTCAAGGAGTTTGATGACTACGTTACCATAACCATTTGGAGTCTTGTGAAAACTCATCTCAATTTGAAATCTCCTGATCTGATTTACACCACAAAAAAAACAGGAGAGCTGATGGCTTTCAGAGAGGCGCTGCTGTGTATGTGTATGCGTGTCATTTGGGTCTTAGCAGGGATATTAAAGTTTATGCTTTGTCTGGTAAGAGAAAATGGAAAACTAAAAATAACGCTGTACCTTATCATTACATCAGTTGCTCAAGTTTTTACTTTTTGTTTAGTTTTAGAATTTAGGACAATATTTATCCCTTCAGGGATTTTTTTGCTTTTATTATAACTATCCAGTTGGCTCTTTAAAGAATTGTTGTAGATAAGAGATTAATACAGACAAAAGGAGACTTTATTGTCCCCATAGGTAAATGTGTCATTGACTGACAGAGATAAATGATGTCCTGTGGTGGTCATCTTACATGCTTGGAGTATAAATCACACCTAGCTGAATAAATAAACCTGATTGTCCAGTTTGAAGAACATTTTGATATTATGCAGAGACAGATTGTTGTTTTTGTCTTCCAGGATGGTAGATGATCTGTACCGACTTCTGCAGACTGCTGAGATAGCCAAGCCCTTCATCTTGGTGGGCTCTGAGCTTGGCGCACTCAATAGCAGATTTTACAGCCACATTTATGACGTGTAAGTACTGTTGAATTAAAATACCTAAAGGAACTATACCAGTTTTGCACAGAAAGGTCTTGATGTCAATTGAATATCCTATTGATATTATGTTCGACTTTTTTCTGGGGATGTTTGTCACAAACAACAAATATTTGACCTCCCTTCCATTTTCATATCTATATACCCACAAACGCCTGAACGGCACCTCTCCTCTTTGAATACACATAGCAGCTTGTCCTTCCCTACTTTTTTCCATAGGTTTATTTTTTGTGTTTCTGCTATTTTGACAATATTCATCAACAGTATGTTTTATAAAGGCACTCAAATGACATTACTTGCTTTAAGAAATGTTTCACCTGATATTCAACTGTCACAACAGGTAAGCCCTGTGTGCGGAAGCTTCTTGGTAATGACCTAGCGTATTGCAACGTTCATCCTAAACTGAGTGCAGGATAACATCAGCAGCTGCAGAAAAATATTCAAATGAAGGCATAAGGAGTTTCAGTTTTAACATGAGACATCACACCTCTAGCTCTCTGCTGCGCAGATAGAAAATAGCAAGTTTCAAAAAAATAAGTATCACTTATGTGTGGGAAACGCTGTTGCAATTGTTTCGAAATTCTTTTCAGAGAGTGTCTGACTCTGAATACACTACATTGTGTTGTTTAATAATTTTTAACAACTATGTCAATATTATAGACCTATGTTGATATTTGTTTGACCATATGCCCATTTTTTGCTGCTTTAAAAACAAACAAGTATCTGATTTTCTGACTTTTGGTAGGTTCCATCTTTTGTTCTTTGAATTTAAAGATCAGTAGATATCGTTGGTTAAAGGGAGGTTGTAGTGAGTATTTATTTTAGTCTGAGATTTTAGTGCTCTAGTGAGACATCTAGTGGCAAGGAACAAGGTCTATAAAATCGACTATGTTTTTATTGAACGCAGTGCCACCAACTCCCCCAGCTTACTAAACATATCAAAGTTTCCTTCCAATAAACTACCATATGCAGGTCATTTAATATACCCTTCAGTGATTAACCTGAAAAGCAGCCAGCCAAAGGGATTTAAGGCTAAGTATGTAATCATGCACTATATTGCTGCCACTAGCAGATGAAGTGAAGTACTGCTGAGTGAATGACACCTTTCCAAATGGAATTATTGGCCCTGGATCTGGTGAATGTGTGGTCACTTGTCTGTTGGGACAGGACAGAAGAAATGGAACGCACTGGATGACACTATCCGTCTCACACTCATTACAACTGGGGCCATAAGGGAACCATGGGACAGAGGACAGTTGAATAAACAGAAAGAGGAATGTGCCAGAGGGGTAGCAAGGACAAGGCTGTTTATTAGTCTGACCTCACACGTGTGTGTCTGCTCTTCTTCCTCAGGCAAGTGTCAGACCTGGTGCTGATTGATCCCATCCCAGAAGAGCTTTTTGAGGAGGACGAGTGGAAAGATTACTGGTGAGTTATTGCTGGGTTCAGGCCAGGGGCGTAGGTAGGACAGAACTAGGATAAGGGGAAAGAAAGAAAAAGAGGAAATGGCTGGAAAGACAAAAAATCAGAATCAGCTTTATTGGTCATGTATGCTTACAAACACAAGGAATTTGTCTTCAGTGAACTGTGCTCTCTATGTACAAAGTATGAAAATGAAATATAAACAATAAACACAAAATAGCAATGACTAATAGGACAGTGGTGAGTAGTGCAGAAGATGCGAAAATAAACATGATGGTAGAGTTTTCAGTATTTACATTAAAGGTGTGCTGAGATTGATAATCTAAATAAAAATAATATATTTGTAGATTCACAGTGCAGGGTTATTACAGTGGTTACGGTTCTGACACACTGTGACTGTTCATCAGAGTGAAAGCCTGGTGGAAGAAACTGTTCTTGTGTCTGCTTGTTTTGGCGTACAGTGATCTGTAACGCCTCCTGGAGGGGAGGTTTGAGGAGTCTGCAGTGATGCTACAGGATCATAGCATAGGTCCATGGAGAGTCGATGTGATGCAGGATATAGTGCAGACCCATGTTGACTGCATCATCAACCAACCTGTTTGCCCAATAGGGAAACTGCAGGGGGTCCAGCAGGTGGCTCAACACCAGTCTCTCAAAGGACTTGGTGACCACAGATGTCAAGGCGACAGGCCTGAAGTCATTTAGTCCTGTGATGGTGGGTTTCTTTGTTTTGTGGATTATGGAAGCGAATGGTGATTAGAATTAGAAGCTAACTTGAAAATGAAAATGCATGTTCAGAATATGGGTGTATTATTTGACTCAAAAATAAAATGATTACTCATTTATCTAATTTGCATTTTAGTTTTTAACTTCAAAAATACAAATTCCTTGACTAAATTAAAATGAAAGTAAATGGATGGGAACGCAGTGCTTAATCCACGCTGCCTCAGTTAAACAGGCGCTTCTGTTCGCTTCTCCCATCGGCGGCTCTCCATAGAGAGCTGCTTCTCCTCGGGCAAGAATCTCCACTTAACTTTCTGGTTCGATGAAAACTGGTGAGAAAAGTTTGGCAGAAGACAGTCCAATGTTCTGTGGTTCTTCTCTGTGAATGAGACTAGAAAGCTGATAGCTTGCACTGCTGAACATAACTTACAATAATTGAATGATAATTTGAGTGTGTTTGAACAATATCACAGGCTCTAAAATGAATGTAGCGTAAAAGCATGAAGATAATAGGAGTTAAAGCTCAGATTATAAGTGTTTAACATCAGTAAATCAATGAATTGATGTGCTCAAGTGGAGAACTGAAACTCAGTTTATACTCTGAGGAATACTCTTGGACACAGGTAGTAGGAACCCGACCCAACTGTAGCTCAGGTAATGGGGGCTTATCTCTGACTTCACTCTTATTTTCCTTTGTTGATTCGGACTTGACTTGGACCGCATTGCCTACAACACTGCTTCATTAAAAAAATGTTGAATCATAAAAGTGCTGGCAGGGCGTTTGGGAGTAGTGGGAAATGGCCTATTTGCAGTCAGACAAAGAAAACACCATATCTATATTTTGCTTGTATGACAACAATATTTTAACAGCCATGTTTTTAATTAACAAGCACTTTTCATTATCTTATAAATCTATTTGAATTTACATGTTTTGTTTTTACTTTTTTCAACCATGAATACAAACTGGTTGATGCATGCCCTCACCCTTTATTCGGATGGTTGAATCATGTCTCCCATGTACCAGCTTCATCTGACAGCTCTAGGGCAGGGGGGGTTGTGGATATATGACACAGCTGTTACATTAATCAGTATAGTGAAACTCATCTCTTTGTTGAAGAACTGCTGTCAAATGGAGCCCAGATTCAGCCAATCTGCTCCAATCGATGAGCCTTTCTTTCTATATTATGATAACAATGGAAGCGTTGTATTTCTCTCGTTAGAGGCAGAAGAAATGCTCTCTACATTTTCTATAACTCCAGGCTACTTATGAATCCCTTTAGCTTGCTATCTTTTTCTCTTCACTATTGCAATTATCGTACCATATGTTTGAAGGACATCTTACTCCAAAGTTATTTCCAGTATATAATCTATAGAGGAAGCTTATTTTAAAAATCTTTTTGTCTAAATCTCTGGTGTTGAGTTAAACTTAAGAGACTGCTCCTTCGTAGTGTAGACTATTGGCTCACATATGTCTGCTTTGTGTCTGGCCATGGACAAGCAGCTATTGTGATTGCAATGTTTTTGATATTTTTTAATAGAAAATAGTCTTCAGAACAAGATTTAGATTTTATATAAAATATTCAAAGGAGTTTTCCAAAACATCAGAAACAAGCTAACAGCACACATATCACAACTCATCAAGGTAAAAGAAAACCTTTTTCTCAAGAATATTTTGGGCCTTTATTGTAGAGGAGGGCAGTGGATAGACTAGGAAACAGGGATGAGAGAGGGACATGCGACAATGTACTGAGGCTCAGAGTCAAACCCAAGCTGCCTGTTTTAAGGGCTATTTCCTCTGTACAAGGGCTTCGCGATTTAACCATACCTAAATACCTTGGATTTTTGCAAAATATACGTTTGGGAGATTTCACTTTTGTGTGATGAAAAAAAAAAATGTAGACAAATATTTAACAGATCGAAAAGTGTTTTTAAGTGACTAAACTCAATTCTTTAGTAATTCATACCGGCAAACTTCTAGTGAAGTGCTCTTTTTTACAATAACAATATTCCGGCTCTGTGGACTCTAAAATGACCATCACTGGTAAAAGGTTTTAGGTGGAATTAGATGTTTTCAAGTGAAAGTTATAGTTAACATTACAGGAATTGTCCTGATAAACTTTTCATCTTGTTTTTAACGCTTCTGGGAATAACTTTCAATTTGTGCTTTTCTTGGCGACGATGGTCACAGCGGCACCACTAATGCCTTCTCTAATCCTGCACACAGGATTTAGAACTGTCAAATGTACTGTATGGGAATAATAAAGGTTCTTCTGGCCTGCGTGCTGTATATGATTATGTCTGAGACTTACTTGTTGGCAGCAGTAAGGGGCATTAGAATAATTATAACTCTGTTTCCAAAAAAGTTATTCCTCTGTTTAAAATTTAAATAGAGACAGAATGTGGTCATTTTCAAAACTTCATATTTCATTGAATGTGCACAATACATCAAATGTTGACACTGAGATTATTTAATGTTTTTAGAAAAGGATATGCTCATTTTGTTCATGATGCCTAGAAAAACCTTTGCAAAAAAGTTGGGACAGTGGAAACAAAAGACTGGAAAAGTTGTGTAATGCTCAAATATGGTGGAACATCTCACAATGAATGACTTCAGATGTTAACAAGTGATTAACATGATTTGGTATTAAAAGAGAATCCTAGACAGGTAGAGTCTTAAAATGGGGAGAGGTTTTACAATCTGTGAATGACTGTGCTGTTTTTATTGATATTTTACACACAAGGCCCCAACTTTTTTGGGAATAGGGAGTATAACTATCAATCTTCAAGTTGTTGGTCTTGTTTGCTCTTTTAGATCAAAGCATCAGAATTAATTTCTGTCTGTTTCATAAAAAATAAGCTTTGAAAAGATCAGGTTAGCAAGTATCGTGGGATAGTCCTTACACTGGTGATGATTTAATTAACCTGATTCTGAAGCTGAAACACCAATTTTGTGGTTAGGGTGTGTTTTCAAGCATCTCTGTAAATTATGTCAATTTAAAATGTTATTGCTTTCATGTGTTTGTTTGCAGAATAAATCCACAATTTTATGACTTTCTCAGTGTGGTCCTTCTAGATATGGCTAAAGGCCTGGATCTATGCCTGATTGGGTTATGTGGTCTATGACAGGGACTGTCACTTTGACTAAGGACCAGTCTCACATCTGCTGTAATAAGTTCTAATCACAGTCTAGACAGGGTTTAATATGGGTGAAAAAAGAGATGTCTTCATCATTCTTCAAGGCAACTTGTGTGCCAATAGATTTAAAGGCAAACAACTCTTTTCTTCTCTTCCTTCCAGTCTTCTCCAGTGAAAAACAATTCTACTGTTTTTAATCAAACTTTTAGTGGCAATATGCTATCTCTAAGTGTTTGTTTGAGATCGCGTTGTTCTTCTCGGCTTTTTATTTATTTAAAACATTTAACCATACACAAGTCCTAAATACCTTCCTTGTAGTGTTTATACTAAAATGCTAATTTGCAACAACTGTCCACAGGAGGCTTTTAGAAATAAATCAAAATGAAAAAGACAAGGAAAATAAAAACAGTTCAGTAATAAATACAAGGGCCCGACCAATATGAGATTTTTGGATCTGATACTGATTCGATATATATCGGCCCATATCTTTCTGAGATCTATCTTCGATCTTTAGAGAGAGATATTTTTTTTGATCCCTCAAACACAGTTATCAAACACTTGTGGAAAAGATATATAATGAAGACAAGATTTTTTAAAAAGTTGAACAAAGGCCTTCTTTGGCCAGAATAACAACAGTGTACTGAAACACTAAACTTAGAACTATGTCAAAAATAAATATCAAACTTAAGTTGAAATTTATCTAATAAAAAATGCTGCCTTCCTTCATGAAGTAGTCATACTTCTTCCACCCTCAGCCATCTGAAAAATATAAACAACATAAAGTTATTAAACAAAAAAGTCACATTACAACAAAATGTTGTGATTCTTTGCTATTGATTCTTGCAATTTCCTTTACTTATTCAGGCAAAACTTAAGTGGAATCAAACAATAGAAAATAGATTAGAATATCATGAGTAATATTTATGAAAAATAATATACATCACAAGTCAGTCAGTCTTTGATTTTAATGTAATTATTCTATTTTTTTCCACTATCAAATACTCAGCTGCAACATCCAGGCCATTTGTTTCTACAAATTTGCTTTCTCTATGATCATCAGCTGACAAGCTTCTCTTTCCTTTGTTACCTGGGAAACAAGTCCCGCCCCATCTAGTATGTTATATATCAGCACCTTGCTGAACAGCACA